ATTCACTTAATATTTCTAACCCAGATTTCTATATTCTGTTCAGCATTTGCTGGTCAATTTCTTGCTTGGATTGTGTGGGGATAATCCCACTGACTTCATACAGTTGGATGAAATTAGATAATATTAAAAAATTCACAGTACAGTAGTAGCACAAACAATAAACCTACTTTTTTTAAAATCACTTTTCTCATCATTTGACCATGTTCTGTTCTTTGATTCTCATTGATATTCCCATTTTTACCCCTTCGATTTTCAGCCATCTATTACTTTAAAAAGAAAGAAATTAAAAGTGCACATGTCATTCATTCCTTCTCCCAATTGTTTTCTTTTTCCATTTTTGATCTTCCCTAATTGGAGATTCTGTAATATCCCTCAAGATCAGAAAGTTTCTCTTGGTATATCTCCTGGTCGACTAACAGCAATTTTTCTTATATTCTACATTTATTTAAGGGAAGCCTATACCTACTTCCTGTGTTGATAAATTGGCTCACTAAACCTAGTTGTTGAAGTGAATACTCATTTCTTTTCTCAATTGAGTAATTATCTTTATTAAATTAATGCATGTAAAATGCTAGCACACATGCACATAGTGAGTTCTCAGTAAAGTTAGTGATCATTATTTTAACTTCTTTATCTTTCTGAAAAGAGAATAATTTAAAATTGATGATATTTTTAAAATATGCTATTATACTAAGATAGCAACTAACTGTTTTCTTTATTCACTAGAAAATGTAATGAGAAGAGAAAACAAAAACTGATTTGAGGGTTTCTGTCTTATTTAAGGGAGATGCAAGTAAAACTTTTTATAGGTTTTTAAGGATTATAAAAATAAGATTGTCCTCAAAGGCAATAACATTGACTACATAAAATCAAATTCCTTCTGATCCTTTCCCTGCTTCTAGTATTTGGTAAATGTAATCTTGTCATCTATTCTAAGAAATTATTCTAAAACACAAAGTTTTGAGCATAAGGATATGCAAAATACCTTTCTTTCTTTTTTTTTTTTTTTTAATACCTTTCTATTTATACGTGTTTAAAAACTAGAAGTATCTGGGCGCCTGGTTGGCTCAGTGGGTTAAGCCTCTGCCTTTGGCTCAGGTCATGATCTCAGGGTCCTGGAATCAAGCCTTGCATCGGGCTCTCTGCTCAGCAGGGACCGTGCTTCCTTCTCTCTCTCTCTGCCTGCCTCTCTTTCTATTTGTGATCTCTCTCTCTCTGTCAAATAAATAAATAAAATCTTTAAAAAAAAAATAAAAATAAAAACTAGAAGTATCTTGTGAATTTATTCAGATGATACTTAAAGACTCAAACAAAATGGGAACATGCTTGTAATGTCAGAAGAAAAATGTAGGATAATAAATTGTAAAGATTGTTAACTCAAATATTGGAATAATGCACAGAAAAAAGACTGAAAGGAAATTCACCAGAATATTCACTATGATTGGTTTAGAGTGATCTTTTTCTGTATACTTTCCTGACAATTTTTCCTATAATTTTCTACAATGAATGAATTGCTTTAAAAATCAAGGAAATAGGAAAAAAAAAAAAATCAATGGTCTGGTATTAGCTGCATGACTTAACTTACAAGTTGTTCAAATCAATTAAGATAGAGTATGTGAAAGCATGTTGTAAACTATAAACTGAAGTAGTAAGCTAAATTATTGTTATTATCAATAACTGAAGAGTAATATAATTCATCTTTTGAACTCTTCATATGGAGAGCTCTCTTTTCGACCAATTTCGTCTAATTTATTTTTTGTCAATACAAATGGGGTTCCAAAACACTTGGAAAATCTCCCTAAGGATAATAAACTGTTTTATCTTTTTTGATATTGGTTTGAACTATTACTGTGATAATAATAAACAAAACCCTTTAAGCTTATTTTGCCTCCTGCTTTTTACCCAGGCAGCAGCAATATCTCCCTTAAAAAAAAAAAAAAAAAAAAAAAAAAAGATGAAACTATTGACATTTAAAACCTACAACTTTCTCTAAAAGGTGAGTTAGTTAAGTCATGGGCAACGAAAATACCAAATTTACAAGAACAAATGTATGCTTATTAAGCAACGATTAACTGCTAGTGATTTCATATGTAGATTATCTATAATTTGAATGCAATTTTCTAAATTTTTTTTAACATGAGTAGTTTCAGAAGTCCTTTGGTGTTTAATAACATGTGCTATTATTAAGACAGTTGTTAAAATGCAGATGTTTTGTTCTGGCCTGACCCTTTCAAGATACTGCCTAGGAGAATGTTATTACTTGCGATTGAACTATTTTGGTGCCTCCCAGCTTCTTTCCTCCTTAATACCAGTTTTGTGACTGATGCTTTGGTAGACAATGGAGATTCCACTGTGAACAGGCCAGATACAGATCCATCCTTGAGTTGTATGGAGCCTAGTCACACAAGTATTTGAGTGTCTAGTGTGCACCTAGCCCTATCCTGAGAATTTTAGGGTTCCCAAAGGAAAAGATACTCTGTATATGCTGAAGAGCTTTTGAGTTCTTACCCTGTAGCATGATATTTTCCTGACTGCAACATACTAGCTTATTTTGACTTTACCTGAGTTCTGAAAGAGAAGAATTAAGAATAACAAGTCAGTCAGCTTCTTTTCATCTAAGACTAGGAACCCATCTAAACTGAGGAAAATCCAGGTGTCAGAAGATTCATTTAAAATGAAAGATACTAATTCTGCCATAGAGTTTTAGAATTGTGATGTAGTCAATCATATCATTTTTGAATAAACTAATGCTGTTGTGCCATATTTTCTTATGGTCATTTCAAATATGCAGATATATGGGATATATAAATTCTGACTAGCTAATGAGCATCACAAATGAATGTGGTAATAGCTAAATCAGTAGAGGCTATTCTTTAATTTGTATAAATTTAATGTCATCTGAAAGGATCTCCCATTTATTTTTAAAAAATAATTTATAAGGTTTATAATATGGGATTTTTCACATACAAAATCTCACAATGGAAAAGTAAATGTTATTTATTTAATGTCAATTTTATAACATCTTGCATTTAATATTTGTATAGTTTTATGAAAATTAGGACAGGAGTTTATCGTAAGAGGACACTTCTGTGGACTTCTGTGGACTGCTTGATATAAATAAAACAATTCTAAAACAGGTTTACTAATCATACAACTATTTCAGAAGTCATGTTAGAATGTGATTTTTAGAATAGGAAAGTTTAGAATATAATTCCAATTCATTTTTTATGGTTTAAGTATATGAGAGAAGTGTCATGTAACACCATATTATTTGGAGGAGAGAGGGCTTGCTTTTAGGGAAGTGAGAAACTCCATTTTGCAATTATTAAACCTCTCTCTTTCCGTCATGCCAACCCCGACCTTTAGTCACCAGCCTACCCCTATATGTTTCACTCATCCTTATCCTGTTCTGTAGAGAATTTTGTTCAAATAGTATTCTTGGAGAAAGTCATATCTGTTCCTCTGGCCCAATGGAAAATCAATCTAGCCTACTCCAACTGGGTTCTCATTGCTTCTTCACAATCTTGATATTGATCTCCCATTTATTCCCCAGCACACTTCCCTCAGCAGGTGCTTCAGATCTTTCTGCTCACACATCTAATTCACTGCTTACACTTCCCATTCTCACCAGATAATATCCATCCTACTTTACTGAGAAATTTATAGATACCTAGTGCTCTTTCATTTTGCCTTTTCTCTACTTTAAAGCAGCAAACTTTGAGTATCAACCATGTGGCAGGCTCTTGTGCTTATTTCTGGCACATACTAGGTGCTCAGTAAATGTTACAATGAATGTATGTGTTGATGAAAAGATAGGTTTAGAGGCTGAAAACAGGCTCCTTAAGTAGAGGAGAAGGAAAGAAAGGAAGCGTGCATTAGATATTATGACCTTGGATGTTCTTTCTTAGTAAAGTAGGATGGTTTCCTCTCTCAAAAGGAAGGGGTGTTTTTTATTTTCAGGGCTAGACTCTTCATACCATTCCTTTTTTCTTCCTCTCTGAAAGTGATTCAGCTCCCTCAAAGGAGGACAATTTCGCTACATTAAGACACCCCCCCCCACTGAAACCCATCACCATCATCAACAACTAAAATTCTGACCCTGCTGACTATAACTATCCTGTTTTCATACTTCCCTTTTGCTCAAGTGCTCTGCAGTTTCTACAGTATACTCATTTCCTTGTCACCTGTATTGTCCTCTTCATTCACTTTTATCTGTTTTATTCTCATCTACACCAACTAAAATCTCACCCCCCCTTTTTTTAATCTCACCTATTTTTTAAGACTCACCTCTCACACTAAGCTTCCCTGGCCCCTGTAACTAGAAGCTTTCTCAAGGGGCCAGCATTGTCTGTGCTGCTCCTATGACATATATCCTAACCTGCCTTCTATTTCTATCCAATGCCATGGGTTTCATTTCCCTAACATAGTCAGGGTTCAGTAGATATTGGTTGAATGAGCAAAGGTAAGTTGAACACCTTAAGTGGGCATGGCAAAAGAAAAAAATGGTTAATCTTTTTACAAAATAAATTTTTTTCTTTGATCACTCTAATAATTCATTTTAAGTACTGTTTCCATCCGTGTCTTGCCACTCCAGTGAATGAAATTGTCAGGAATTTGGCTAGTTTCAGTTTTTAGTTAGCAGGCTGTTACTAGAAATGGTGATGGTGGTATAGCCTTGGTTCCCTGCCTTTATTGCGGGAGGAAACTAATACTGCCTTATATCATACGTATTACTAAAGTTTAGATTTCTCCAATGAAACTTAAAGGGAATTGTGAGACACCTCCAAAAGACTGGTTTCTGAACTGATTCCAAGGAGGATTTTTAAGACTACAAATGGGAATTTCTGGTTTGCTTTCAAATGGCTCTGATATTCTTCATTTTGTCATGTTTTTCAGCTGGTACTGGTTATCACTGCACTTTATCAAATAGCATCCCCATTTCAATTGAGAATGAAGAGGTTCTTGGATAAAGAACTTGTAAAAATCAGGTACAATAATAAAGTCATGGATGATTCTTGGAATTTGCTAAAATGAAATGCTGCATCTAAGTGCGATGTAAGTGCAACATCTTAGCCATACAAGATCATTATCATAAAGTAATCATCATGATTAAAAAAACTCTAATTGAATCATTATTCTTTCCAAAAGATCTGAATTCTAAGAATACTTCTCAGAAGCTCTCAAACTTAATATGGAGCAGGAAATATTGCAATGAGTCCTCAAGAGTGAGAAATAAAAAAACAGTTGTGCTGTTCTTTCATTGTGCTTTTTAAATTTCATTATTCATAACTATATAGTACTTATGTGTGGTGAAGAATGTAGTCATAGGGGAATGCATCTGTCAGTATATTAGTATATAAAAAAGAATAAAAGTAAAAACAAAACAAGCACACTCAGTAGGTTCTCATATTTCATATTTGAAGCTTTAGCTATATATTCCTTTTTAAAACAAATCTAAGAAAACAATAAATAAATTTTTTAAAGGTTTATTTATTTATTAGAGAGAGACACACACATACAAACAGAGAGGACAAGCAGGGGTAAGGGCAGAACGCCGGTGGGGGGCGGAAAGCAGACTCCTTGCTGAGCTGGGAGCCCAATGTGGGGCTTGATCCCGGGCCCTGGAGATCACAATCTGAGCCTAAGGCAGACACTTAACCATCTGAGCCACCCAGGCCCAACAATAAATAAAATTTTTAAAGTGTATATTTGTGACATAACTAGGTTAAAGAAACTTTTATGTAGTTGCATAAAGCTAGATCTGTTATTTTGACTGCCTGGATGATACCAATAGCAAAATAATGCCCAAAATATGCATATCATTTTGTAGCTATAGCTACAAGGACACAAATGATATTTTAACATTCAATCAGAAATATTACATATATAAATTTTAAAGAAATCTAACACTAAATTTTGTGATGGTTAAGATTTTTAGTGGAGTCTATGGTCAGTATAAAATTTCAAAATTTCAAAATAATGTTCAGAGATTGAAAGTACAATGGATGTCAAAGAAGAGAAAGAAAAGAGATTATAAACAACTCAATAAGATGTTCAAAGGATCTTTTGAGCTTGATTCTTCACCTACCACATTAAAAAATGAAATGCCTAATCCTATATATTTACAGATTCTATATTAAAGTCTTTTAACTTAGTCATTCTGTTTTTCAATCTTCTTGGATCTTGGCATTCTGAATCCCATACTGACCTAAGAAAGCTGTTAGATCAGGCAGCATAGGCTACACTGCAGTGATGTAGGCCAATGCTGCAGGCTAGGCCTAGTGGCTTCAAACAAGTTGGTTTCTTCCTCCTGTTACATGTGCATCGTTAGGTGGCTGGGGACTCTGCTGTACATTATCCTCATTTAGAGACCCTGGCTGAGGAAGGGCGTCTACTCTTTCACAATTACTGCAGGAAGGAAAAAGTAAAATGGAAAACAGCACAAAATATTAAAGCTTCTCCCTAAAAGTGATACGTGTTACTTCTGATCACATTTATTGACTAATGCCATGGATATGGCCATGCTAACTTCAAATGGGGTCAAGAATGATAATCCCCTCATGTGCTCAGAAGGAGAAAAGCCAGAAATATTTTGTGTACTACTGAGTTCCACATCTACCTAAAAAAGATTAGAAATGGCAATTATTTTAACTCATTCTCTGTTCAAGTCAGATTTGAGTGTTGCTTCCTTTTCTAGTTGCAGAACTAGAAGAATATCAATGGATGATAACTTTCTTCAAGGATTAAATATAAGAGAATGTTATATGGAACATTAGAGTGAACTGTTTTATTCTTCTCTCATTTGTTAAAGACTCATGGTCTTTTGCCCCCAGGGGGGCTATAATTTGGCGGGAAACATAAGTCTAGGCTCCATGAAACAACTGGAGGATGAGACAGACTATCATATCATTCCAGTGAATGGTGATAAGCCACATAATAAAATCAAAATGGTAGATGAAATTAAGTGAAAGACCAGTGTTGAGTGAGTTAAAATTTCCTTGAAGAAAGTATACCTACCATTAGATGGACATGAAATACTAGGTTTAGGTTGATAGAAAGAAGAGAAACATAGCAACTAGGAAGTCAGAGACAGGAATGAGCAAGGAAGAAGCAGAGATGAGATTTGCTCAGCTGGAGTAAAGTGTAAAATTAAAAGTTGAAGTGGCACATTAGGGTTAGTTTTTTGTGAACTTGAACACCAAGCTAAAACATTTATATTTGACCTGATGGGAAATAGTAAGAAACTGTGGATTCAACCAAAGCCAGAGTAAAAGAGTGTTTTAAGTTATAGGAGTTTTTAGGGCACACCTGGAAAAGAAACTCCTAAGAGGTTATGTTTCGTTACAAAAATTTTTTGAGAAAGCTGAAGACTGGGTTCCTTTTTGACCTTAAGGAGTTTCAATTTGGTTGGTGAGATAGACCATGCCTTTGAGATAAAAGTAGTCTTTGGTTAAAATTTCAGGTATAAATTTGGTCACTGATGGAAATGCTTTCTCTAGAAATGGTTAAGAAAAATAAACTCAAATTCAATTATTCAAAAAAGTTTTGGTTATCCTACCTGGAGGTAAGAGGTTGATTTAATTTATGTTACGGTGGTTAAGAAACCCACACTTATTACCATATTTTGTTTTCAAATCATGAAAAAATAAAAATTCATTTTGTCCTATTAAAACATGAACCATGGTTTCATAGGGAAAGCATGGTCTTTGGAAGGAGACATATCCAAAGTCTGCAATTTGATAGAGAAGTAGAGAAGGTTAAACTACTCTACCTTCTAGAGCCTCAATTTCCCCAACTACAAAATGGCAATGATAGGGATACCTAGGTGGCTTAGTTGGTAGACCATGCTATTCTTGATTTTAGGTTGTGAGTTCAAGCCCCTTGTGTAGGTAGAGTTTAATTTAAAAGAAATTTTTTTTAAAGATTTTATTTATTTATTTGTCAGAGAGAGAAAGAGCATAAGCAGGGGGAGAGGCAGGCAGAGAGAGAAGCAGGCTCCCTGCTGAGCCAGGAGCCCGATGTGGGACTCGATCCCAGGACTCTGAGATCATGACCTGAGCCAAAGGCAGACGCTTAACTGACTGAACCACCCAGGAATCCCTAAAAAAATTTTTTAATAAATAAAATAGCAATAATAATTGTATCTATCTCAGAGTTGTCATTAAATAATGAAACATATATAAAGTGCCTAGCATGTAATAGGTATGATAGTAATGTCAATGATTATATATAAGCAAACACTAAATATTATCGAATTGAAATTTAAGGAAAATTTTCTATCTTCATATATTTGTAAAAATTATAAAATTAATAAATTGTAACTTAATGATTTATTAACTAAACTCTACCTCATAATATTATTTTATTCTAGAAATAAGTAAAAAAAAGAAATAAGGAAAAAAAAATTTTAGATCAGAGAATGCAAGGTTATATTTCTAAAGTGTTCATGATCTTTGATTGGTTTGTTCCAGTTAGCAGATGTTCTTTCTTCCTACACCAAAGGCAGCAACTTTCATTGGTGACTACTCACAAAACTTTGTGGTAAGCAGTGCACTCCTATTTTTCAGATGAGAAAGCTATATAAAATAAGTAGCACTCAAGAAGTTAGTTGAAAAAGTAGTAGTTTAATTCATGGCATTTGGTTTATATCACTATGTTGACTTTGTGGCTCCCCAGTAGCTTCATAGTACCTTGCCTTTCAGAGGAAAATATGGTTATGAGTGTGTCAGATCTTCAAACTGTATCACAAGGACCACATTTAGTCAATCTGAGGTCCCTGAGGATTTAATCACTACCCAAAATTGTACTCCTGGTTCTTTCCCATATCTGTACCATACATTGAGTATAGGAGATCTGAGAGTATGATAATAAATAAAATGAAAATGAAGAAATAAAATAGAAATTCATATTTAACAGCTTTAAGGTGGTGATCATGAAATTTTAATCTGAAATTGTCTTATTAAATTTTAATTTGAAAATGCCCTATATGTAGACTGATGAGGCCTTTAGCTTAATGGAGTATTAAGGTCTGATACTCTGTCTAACTGGGTAGATCAGAGCAGTGGGATACTAATGTTCTTAGTCTAAGCAGTTATGAAGAAATGAACAATGGTAATCAATTTCCTGAATATTTATTTTGGTGGCTCCTCAAGAGATAGTCCAGAGTTTGTGCTTTACTGGACAATCATCTACCCCATTACCACTTTGGCATCACTGGTCACAGATCTTAAAATGGAGTGTGTATGTGTGTGTGAGTGTGGTGTGTGTGTGTGTGTGTGTGTGTGTAGAAAAAAAAAATCACTTAAGGTGACAAAGTAAATTCTCTGTTACTCAATTAGACCAGGTAAGTATTTCAGCCTGCATGTGAAGGGATGTTTGGACAAATGCATTTGACAAACCACTGAGGAAAACAGACCTTTGCTATTAGACACGAGTGCTCTATGCCATACAAACAAACAAACACATCCACTCCTCCTAAAAATAAATAAATAAATAGAAAAGAAAGGGGGAAAAACAGCACAGCTTAAATGATAGGTTTTGTAAATGTTCTGCTATTTTACAGTTTTTCAATTGAAGCCACAGTTTCCTTTTTCTTCTTTCTACTTTTATACACACAGCCTGGAAGATGGACATTTGGCAAGCCATAATAGACTGCTCCTTTCCCAGGTATCTCCTGCTTGTTTCCTTTATCTGTGAATAGGAAATGGCTTAAAGGCACCTGTGTGATGAAGGTCCCAGGGGCAGCTGTCTGACTAGTGAATGCCTGATTATGTGTTAACATGCTTTGTCAGATATTGGCAGAATCTGTTCTCTTCTTTTGCCTTTTCAGCAAGGGTACCATTGACAGCCTGGCTACCCATTTATAGAAATGTTGTCCATCAAACTGTGAGGAAGGACAATAGTGTTTTTCTGTGGCCAGTGACTGTGGGAAACTTTTCTTTGGCTATTCACGCAATTTTTGTAGCTTGCTCTGAAGAGGAGAGACTGATGAGTGCAAAAAGTACAATTAAGCAAAGCCAGACTTCAATTGAAGGCTCTAGTGTAGTCTGCTGTTCTCATTTTTTTTTTTTTTTTTTTTTATTTAGAGGGGGGGAAAAACCCTATGGGTTTTCACGTTGCTGTGTGGCATTCAGCAGGGGGCTATTACAATCCTAAATTTTTTTTCTAGACCACCTAATTCTAAGTTAAAATTAAATGTAATGAGAGCCACTTGGAGTTCTGAATATTTTAAAGCATAATTCCCACAGAAGGGATTCGACCTAAACTGCAGTGAGCATCAGTTGGCTAATTATAGCTGCATTTTATATTACAGCAGGTGTCAGATGCAGTCATCTCAATAAAGTCCACATAATACTCTGGGAAATAACAAAGACTTTTCTTTGAATGTGGGTACTAATTTCTGCTAGGTGTCATATGAGCTTTGATACTTCTTATTGGCATTAACAAGAGCACTGCAGCACTCAGAAATGCTTTTTGCTTGGGATGAATTGATACTGTAAAGCACTTACCAGTCAGACTTGGCAGATGTCAGTGGTTAATACTAATGTTGCAGAGGTCGGAATATAATGCAAAGAGTCTTATGTAAATACTCTTAGATGATGGGCTGGTTTTGAGAAGGCGCCTGAGCACTGCACCAACTCACTTAATGAAAGTTAAATAGATAGCAGTGGGGTATCTGCTTTTACTTTGGCTCCTGCTTTATTGCAAGTCCTTCAGAAGTGAAGGGCAGATGGTAAGGCAGTAAACTAGGTGAACAAAATACACTGGACTTGGGTAAGGACTTGTTATGTTCTTGGTACTTTCCTTGAACTTGGGTGGGTAATTCAAATTACTAAAGTGATAGGGCAAAAGCATGCCAGAAGATAAGGGCTCCTGTGCATTTCCCGTGGATGAAAAATAAATTTTAGAAAATATGTCTGCAGCTGAAATACAATTAGACAATGGGCTAGGCAAGAGGGATGTCACTTTGAAATCATGATAATTGTTCTGCACTGCTCCTTTCTTTTAGGAGTTTTACAGTTTGTCCAACCTATTGTAGTCACATTGGATCACAGCAAATGAGATCAAAATGGAAGACCTATTGAAATCTTGTTATAAAATACCAAATAAGCTAATAGAAATATGAACTCTTTACACACATTCCATTCTGGGATCAACACTATTTATTTTAAACCTAATTCAGAGCTAAACCTATATATTTTTTTAAACCTAATTCAGAGCTAAAAAGTGAAGGCAGTTGTCCTTAATTATATCTCCCAAATCAACTTTGGGGTCTCATTTTGGCAGGTTGCAGTTTATGTGCATCTCACAGCAAATTCTGTAGGGTGCTGTCAGCAATTAGAGAGGACTTCAGGAGTTTAATACTCATTTAACATTGATTCAATGAATGAATGAACACTGGCAGGAGCACAGTACTGTTAAGCCCAGCAGTAAAATCTCAGATAAGAAGGAGGACACATTGGGGCACCTGTGTGGCTCAGGTCATAATCTCAGGATCCTGGGATCAAGTCCTACATCAGGGTCCCTGCTCAGCAGGGAGTCTGCTTCTCCCTCCTGCTCATACTCTTTCTCTCTCAATTAAATAAATAAAATCTTAAAAAAAAAAAAAAAAGAAAGAAAGTGAACACATTGTCCCCAGAGTGCTAATCATCAGTTCACAAAAGCAATATCCCTCATAGCTGTTTTGAAGATCGTATATGTTCACGGGTTTTGATAAAGTTCAGGACCAAATTGTGAAATAGTATGAAGCATTACAGAGAAATCACTACAAAGAAGAACAAGTAATCTGCTAATGGCAATTGTTTCCTTACAATCCTCAATAATGTTCAAGTGTTTTTAATACTTAATACTTTAATACTTAACTTTAATACTTAAGCCTCTGTATTCACTTAAGTGAATAATAATTTTATTGATTTTTTCTTACATAAATTCTTTATTATAAAAATTTAGAAAACATATAAGATACAGACAAGAATTTACATACATATAAAATATGTACGTACATTTTAAATAATGGGATTTAAATATTTTATAACTATCTTTTTAAACAAAGCATGTGATATACTAAGAGTGTTTATATTATTGCATATTCTTTCATAACACAATTTTTTCTGATCAAATCATATTCTAGTACATGGATATGCCATACTTTCTTCTTAAATTTGTGATTATTGTACATTTAGATTGTTTCCCATCTTAGTTTTAAAGTCTGTTTTGTCAAATATAAGTATTGTTACCCCAGCTTTCTTTTCACTTCCGTTTGCATGAAAAATGCTTCTCCATCTGGTCACTTCAATCTGCATGTGTATTTAGGTCTGAAATAAATCTCTTGTAGACAATGTACAGATGGGTCTTGTTTTTTATCCAGTTCATCACCCTATGTCTTTTGATTGGAGCATTTAGTCTATTTACATTCAAAGTAATTATTATTGATAAGTATGCATTTATTGCCATGTTGTTACTTGTTTTATAGTTGTTTTTGTATTTCTTCTCCATTCCTTTCTTCTCTTGATTTCTCATGATTAGTTGGCTTTCTTTAGTGATATACTTGGATCACTTTCTCTTTATTTTTTTCTCTTTATTATTTTCTCTTTATTTTTTTCTCTTTATTTTATTTTTTCTTTTATTTTTTCGCATCTCTACTACTGATTTTTGATTTGTGGTTACGCTTCAGTTTATATATATATAACATCTTCTGTACAGCAGTCAGTATTAAGTTGATGATTGCTTAAGCTTGAACTCATTCTTTACTCCTCCCCATGTTTTAGGTATATGGTGTCATACTTTATATCCTTTTATTTTTTGAGTCCCCTGACTGATTTTTACACATATACTTATTTTTACTGCTTTTGTGCTTCTACTTTCCTTACCCTTATTTATAGTCTTTCCTTTCCACTCAAAGAGTTCCCTTCAGCATTTCTTGTAGGGCTGATTTAGTGGTCATGAATTCCTCTAACTTTTGTTTGTCTGGGAAACTCTTCATTTCTCCCTCTATTCTGAATGATAGACTTGCTGGATAGAATGTTCTTGCCTGCAGATTTTTTTCCTTTCAGCACTTTGAATATATCATGCCACTCTCTTCTGGCCTGCAAAATTTCTGTTGAAAAATCAGCTGATCACCTTTTAGGGTTTCCCCTTCTCTGTAAATGCTTTCTTTTCTTTTGCTAATTTAAAGTTCTTTATCACTAATTCTTGCCATCTAAATTACATTGGTATGGACATTCTTGGGTCGATTTTGGTGGGTGGGGGGGGTATCTCTATACCTCCTGGATCTAGATTTCTATTTCCTTCCCCAGATTAGGGAAATTTTCAGCTATTAATTCTTCAAATAAATTTTGTGCCCCCTTTTCTTTCTCTCCTCCATCTGGGATCCCTAATGTACCGTGAATGTTATTATACTTGAAGGTATTGCTGAGTTCTCTAAGTCTGTCCTCATTTTCCATAATTATTTTTTTCTCTCAGCTGCTCAACTTGATGACTTTCCATTACTGTCTTCCAGGTCACTGATTTGTTCTTCTGCTGCTTCTGGTCTACCATTTATTTCATCCAGTGTATTTTTAATTTCATTTTTATGTTCTTCATCTCTTGTTCTTTTTTACCTCATGTAAAAAGGTACTGATGTACTCCACTCTTTTCTCAAGCCCAGTGAGATCTTTATGATCATTACTTTAAATTCTCTGTCAAATGTGTTACTTATCTCCATTTTGCTTAGGTCTCTTGCTATGATTTTGTCTTGTTCTTTCATTTGGGACATATGCCCCTGTCTCTTTAGGTCTGTTTCTGTGTGTTAGGAAAGACAGCTACATCTCCTATATTTGAAAGTAATGGCCTTGTGAAGAAGAGGTCCTATAGTGCCCTGCCATGCAGTGTTCCCTGTTCATCAGAACCTGGCACTTCAGGGATATCTCCTACGTGTGATGGGCATACCCTGCTGTTGTAGCTGAGCTGCTTTTTCCTTCAGTCCAGTTGTCTACAATGGCTCTTTTTGCCTGTTGTGGGCAGTGTTTGGTTATTGTGGTGTTAGTGAGCCAGTCTAGGGAGGCCTTGGGCTTGAGTTCACTGTGGCTTAGAAATCTTTTGGTACATCAGTTCTTATCATGCTTCACATAATAATTATACCGAGCCTTCCTCCCCCTCCCCCAGGCTAATCTGGTAAGATTCACAAAAACCAGAGAGAGATTTAAGGCACTAATTTCTATGTTTTGCATTGATAATAAAACAATGTACATTTTGCTTTAATAGAAAATTAGGGATAATAAGTGATCTTGGAAGTATCTTTGGGCTTTACCTTTTTCCAGGTAGAGTACCATCACTGTAATCATTGAACTTAAAGAAGTAGGAGAGGTTAGCTGATCACATTTATACTGCATGTAACCCTCATAGAGAGCTAAGATATTCATGTTTTGGGATATTTTCGGTTAAGTATATAGGTCCTACCTTAGTAATGTATTCCGTAATTTAATATTCCGTAATTTAATACAATCCCTTAAATTATTTGATATATTAGACACAAACTGAGATAGTTCCCTGATATTTGGCATTCCTAAAGTCTGTCTGGGCTGTCTACATGGTTTTGGGGGAACCACTTTTTCACCTCTAGACGTTAGTGGGTTTTAACAGCTGGGTGTGATCATGGAAAGAGTAACTATAGGCATACCATGAGATATA